AGGTTAACTCCAGAGAGTTATCACAGGTTGATATTGTCTATTAGATACAGAGGGAACAGTGCATGTTGGCTAGAGGAATTTACAGCAAAACGCAAGAGAAAACGGTGAACTGTCCAACCGATTAATACTGGTGAGTTGCTTCATTGAAGAAAAAAAAAACCCACAAAAAAACCAACCACTCTGATGTAAGCACAATATTTTACAGCATCTTTTATCATATGATTCACAAACAATAACACCATGCCAAGAAGTAGATCAACAGCAAGTTTCAAACTCTCTGTGGAATAATGTTTAGTTATGTTGTAGAGTAGAAACTGGAGGAAGGTGTAACACCCACTTCACCAGCGGATAACACAGCTATTTATCTGTTAGCTATAAAACACTGGTAAACAGCAGCCAGTTGCTATCACCCTATCACCCTATCACACAGCGCTGCACTTGGCAACAATGCAACAGCCAAAATTGCTTAAGTTGGCAGAGTGGTGTTCTGGATGTGTCCGGGCTCTGCCATGTTCAAAACTTGAGTTCTAGATTTCTAATAAATCAACATGATCTTTGTTGCCTCATGTAAAATGATTATGGAAGCACTGAAAGGTTTTTCTCTACGAGTTTTCTACGATGCAATGGATATCAATAATAAAATGTAAAAATTGTATGCTGAACTCGAATTTGAACAGAAATGATGAGATTGGAATCTCTGTTTCCCACCAGTGGTTCAGGCAAGTTTGCTTGGATTATAGAGCATTTCAAAAGCATGTGGCTCTCTCAGAAACAAATTAGAGGCTTTGTACCCATAAACCAGCTCTAAACTCATTAAAATGAAGTTCTGAAACTTCAGCTCTGAAGCCCTAAACAAGAAAACATTGTTAGAATGACTTAGTTTTTGCGGATAAGGGCTACAGTTACTATCTTCTGAAAGAAGCACTTTATTCACAGTCAGTATTATATGCCTAAATAGCATGCATACTCCAAAGATTTTAAACTTCATGTTAAAGCTTTTCTTAATTTTTTTTAAGTGCTTATGACATCAGATTCTCCTGACATTGTGCTCTTCATGGATGATACGTTAACTAGTCATCTTGATTTGGTTTTATGGTTGGCACTGTCAAGCAGATAGGGAAAAATGATTTCTACTCTAAGAATCTGGGAAACTCTGGGAATCAAAACAGAGCCTAATACAACTTAGGACAGGCATCAGGGAGTACTTAAACCTTCTAGAGTGGCTTTTTCACAGGCATCATCACTGGAACAACTACCAAACTGATATGTATTGTGGATTTCCTGCCCTTGACACAATTCTTATGTGTCAGCAGAAAGCAGATGCCATCAGCTACAACTGCTTTATGACACTACTGTAGACGAATTTCTGGGAGCTTCTTCAGGCCACTTTCTTGCCTCTCACTCTGAATTTATGATATTCTTGATAAAACCATGGAAGCATGTAGGACAAAAAATGAGACCTAGAAAGACTGATCAGTCAGAAAACCATAAAAACAAGTCAATCATAACCAAAGATTAACATCTTAAAATCTTGAAGGAGATTAATAACCTTTACAAGTTCTAATGACATCATACTTGGCTGGAGTAAACTCATTTAGTCACTAAAGGGCACCCGACTTGTATATCATCACGAAAGAGCCTCTCCTACGTTTTGAGCTTGGAAATAAAATTAGTACGTCTCTTTGGTCTTTAAAGCAGATTAATAGCTGCTTTAAGAAGAATGTACCACCTAATTAAAAACTACAAAATAAATCAGGCTTGTGAAAAAAAGTCACCTCTCTCTATGTTTCATTTCGTGAATTTTCACATTAAGTTACTTGTTTCATAAGACTTATTTCCTATTCTTCCTCAACTGAGTAGAGAGGAGATGCACACTGGCAAAATCTTTATTTTTCTTTCAGAAAATGTATTGCTTGAAACTCTGCATTTCAAAGCCAACAATGATAAAATGATCCACAACAATATCTGAATACTAATGAAAAAATAACAATTCTTCACCTTTTCTATGTTTAATTGAATCAGCTATTTCAGTGTGTTGTGGGAATAGATTTATCAGAATCAGTAGAGACCAAATGTTAATTATGAAGGCCGAGCACAAATGAATAATCTTACTTATAGACCCTGACACATTAGAACTGCAAAGCACTCTGCAGGTCTTATTTTATGAAAATGTACAAAGACCGCAAATGTATAGGCCCTTAGGAAGCAATTATCCCTAAAAGATTTAGCTATAATTAAATTGGAAATATTTTAAGAGATTTTTTAAAATGGTTTCCAAAGAAGAGGATTATTTTACTTTAACTATGGAAATAGGGGGCCACATACTTCTTTGAATGACCTCTGTGCAGTTCTGGCCATTGCCTGGAGGAAAGATTTGAAATTGTCCATTTTGTTCAATTAATACCATCTCCTACGACCAATAAGAATATCATAAAAATTAGGAGCACCAGTTTGGCATTGTGGGACTGAATGGCCCACATCCCTATAAGGAATGTTCTATGCAATAAATGCATTAAATATGGACATTTTAAATCACACACTGCTAGTATATACGATAGAGATTAGTTAAGAAGAGCTATCTTACCAAAGATGTGCAGATGTTATATTGCACAAGAAGATGAAATGGCACAGTACAGGTCTAGAGAATATGCCTTCTGTGTCATATGTTTTATCAGCCACATGATCCTCAGGTGTGACATGGGATCTAAAAGTATGTGAAAACGAAAGTATGCAAGAGGGCTGACATCATCTTTGCAATTCCCAGATCCTGGGTCTAGCCAATTCACTGCTACCACACCTCTCCCACAGTTACAATCTGTCTCTCTGCTGCTTTGCCTCGCTTGGGATTCTATGGGCTGCTACTGCCTATCAAAGCAGCGTGGCAGCAGCCCTGTGAGCTAATATAACTAAAAATACAGCTGAAAGCTTGCAGCCTATCTTACCTATTAGACCATACTGTCAGTTTTCTATGAAAACAGCGAGATGACCAGAGGGTGATCCGCAGCAGAGACGAGACAGGAGGGGATTTCTGGGTCTGTACCCACACTCTGTGTGTAGCACGACAGCTACAGAGTGCATACAAGGGGCAGGAGGCGGCAGCGAAGAACAACAGGGTTTTGCAGGGGAGGTGTATGCCCAGACCCCACGGTGCGTGACCTGTCAGGAGGCGCTGGCTGGACATCTCTCTGGCCAGCTACAGCCAGGCTCAGAGCACCGGTCAAACCCGTTCCCAAAGGAGCTGCTGACATGACTTTCATCCCTGCCAGCCAGTCCATATTTTCTAGGCCGTAGCTACACTAAAAAGGGGTGAAAGCTTCTCACTCACACTGGTGCTTAGGTCAGGATGAGTGTTCATATGCTGTGTATCAAAGCTAACTACTATTTTCAGTATTTCATATGGGCATTTTAAAATTTTCAAGGTCAGGAATCCAACTGCACCCATCAGCCCTTTAATAACTACTGTGATGGACCTGTCCTCACTGTAGGCAACAGTAATATGAATTGAGACAAGAACTACAGAGGTACAGTGTTAAAAAAAGTTCAACTTTCCCAAAAATTGAAAAGCATTGCTTTTGTCCTCCCCAGGCTCTCATCTCTAAAAGACTACGATCAATTAACCTCTAACTCGGAAAAATCAAAAAATGCCTGTGACAGCCAGAAATTAAATTCTTTAAAGATTAGGTGGTGGGAGAGCAATATCAGGCTTAGAAAGAAATCCCAGTAACACTCTGAACTATTAAGTCACTTCTTGCTCTGAAAAAATAATTATTCTGTAAGCATTATGTCAGGCAATATTAAATGTAAAAAGTGTAGTTTCAGTAAAACATTGCTGTTTTCTAACAGAAAGACTGTGCATAGTATCTTCAATGACACAGGAAAAATAAGTCAGCATGCAATTAACGAAAACTAATACTACGTTCAATAAACAGCATGCTCGGCAAGCATTAACTTATAGTGATACCGAACTCCAAACAATACTATTATTGTGGTCAGAAACAGCCCTGAATGTTTATGATCTCTATTTCTAGCCATCTGAGAATGGACTGCTTTCAGTATTGTACACCTGATTTTGTAATGAAGCCTCTCTCCATTTATTTATTATCATTTTATTTTTTTTTTTACTGAGAAATGTCAAACTACACAAGGATTTACCTTAATTCCTGTACTTTGCATCGCGGAAAATCTGCTTATAAATGAGACACTGAATATTACTCCCTAAATCAAACACTTTCTTAAAACGACAATACAGTATCAACAGAGCAACTTCTGTATTTATATCTTCTCTCCACTACCCATAAAAGAGATTATTGAGAATACAGTGGTTGAGTAGGTGCGCATGATGCTTGAACATCTTACCTGGCATAGTCTCTTATTCTGGCTAGCGGTGGGATTGCTGGTTATGTAGCTATCAGTTCCACTGACGTTACAATTTCCCTTTCTCAAGGCAGCAATAACCTGTCACTTTACGCTGTCCTTTCTCCGACCCTCTCCCGCCTATCTGCTCATTTTTATTCTTATTGACAAGACTTATTATTCCTCCTCCCAATTCCAACTAGCTACCCTTTTGCAAACAGTAGTATCAACTATGTGGTCACTAGTAGTATAGGTCAACAATGTTATTAATATAGCACACACTGCTGGGAGCAGATCAAACAGCCATGCTTTAAAATATTAGTTTTGCAAAGGTACCGTGATGCAAATAGTTGCTGTTTTCTTCACATTATAAAATGTAATATTGCAAGGACAGACTCCAAGAATTAAGCATTAATTACCAGCCTAATAAATTGGAGGATATGTTATTTTTTTTCTTGCTGTTTTCATACATAAAATAAAATAAAACCATAACAGAAGGGTGCTGTATCTGTGTTTAAAGAAGGGGTTGTTGGCAAACACCATAGCTCACTTCTGCCGAAATGTACACAACTGATATATGCAGCCCAGAAAGCTGGCACCAGGGGCTTACAACCTTAATTTGCCTGCAAGAAGAAATGGAGATTTACCTTCAGAGCACGTTCTTGATTGTTTTCAGCAGTCAGATGTCTCGTGTTGTTTGCTGAAGTCTGGTTCTGCTCTTTCAGATGATGAAGCTCCTGCTCCAGCCGTTTGCACTGCAACGAGGAAAGAATCCCATTAAGTAGAGGAGTGTGGGCATATTTTTATCAACAAGCCAAATGAATTAACGTAAATAACCCCATCTTGATTTCTGCAGTAGAGAAAGCATCAGACAAAAGCAAGTTACAATCCCAGATCTGTACTAGAGCCATGTTTTTTAAATGTGCATCATTTTTCACTGTCTTCCTGGTCCAACTGTATGCCAAAAAAGCCAAGTTTAGTATTAGATAAAGACATTTTGCAGAATGTTTTAAAAAGTCTTAGAAATTACAAAGACGTTGGGTTGAAATTCTGCTCCTAGTTATGCCAATATAATGACGGATTTTGGCTTTTATACATTAAGTGAATATAAAGGAAGCAATACATGCTTTCAGAAAAGCAAGCAAATTAAAGACCCTCCTCCCAGATCCAGGACCCAGCCTTTTATTAGAAAATATACATGCAATTTTTATACTTGTATTTTTCACACTACGAGATTACTCTAAATCCCAAACACACACCACATCTTGAAAGAAAAGCTTTAAGAATGTTTTGTTTAAATATTCAACTTAATGACAAAGAATGAAAAATTTAACATTTGCTATTGTGTGCATACACACATATACTTACTGCTGTCAGCTGCACATCTATTTTAAAGATTAAAGATCTGCAAATTGTAAGCTAAATTATATTTCACTGTTTTTTTTACAGTAATGGTAAGAGATCTCGCCCAGTTACCTTGGTTTGAAAGAGTAATTAGCTGTCGGCAGACAGTTCATTATCTTATGAAAAAAACCCTGTTTTACAAAAAAAAAGCAAAACAAAACAGACGAAGTACCAGGAAGATATAGGGGAACAACTGTTAGAACCAGGGAAAAACACAATATTAACAGGAACATTTTAAAACAGCATACTACAAGCAAGTAATTCAGATATCACCACTAAAAACCACAGCTGATAGACTCTGTTGGAACAAAAGACAATTAATTGATAAAAAGTATTTTAGTAAGTATTTTCTGAAAACACTAGTAAGAAAGGAATGAGAATCATGACATAATGCCCATGTAAGCATTGCTGTCTCAAATGAAACCCCTGGAAACATCAGTCTCTTGCGCTATATTAGCGACTGTGGAAGAAACAGTACTGAGCTTCCCATCAAGTGTATACAACCTGTTCCTGAGCAATTCAGTGTGTGGGACAATGAAGCATGACTCATGCCAACTTTATAAAAAGAAAAACTATGAAACAGAGAGCTGTAGAACTGAAAAAATTATAACTGAGGTCTAAGTAAAAGAAGGAATACTAAAGGATCTGGAGACAGGGATTTTAATGGCATACCAGTACACACACTTCTGAAAAACAAAATAAGTCCTTAACAATGTACTGCACCTCAGGCATCCAGCATAATACATAATTCAAATATAGGACTGAATAATTTGTTTTAGTTTTAAATAACTGTAGGTGTCCAACAATACTATTACAAAAATTGGATTCACATATCTGTTGTTGTATTTGATTACTTATGTTAGAAATCTGGGCTCGTTTCTAATAGGATTACTTATTTTAAAGGCAGCAACTCTCTCTGGCCTAGTGCATTCTCTCCGCATCTGTTTCAAAGTTCCTTAACGCACAGTTTCATTTTTATTGCAAGAAAAAGAGAAAAGGACACTTTCCCATATAACAGGGAAATACAGAAAAAATGTTAAGATACATTTGCTTGCAAATATTTTTACGGACTTGAGACATTTAATGTCTATGTTTATCTCACATACACACAAAAATCCCAAGTCACAGAATCACAGCTGTAATTATTTTTCCATGTCCAGCATGAAAATTACGTGTCTGCAGACATGAAGGTGCTAATAAAACTATTGAAGAACTAAACCCAAATTATGCAGCCTTTTTCTCTAGCAGCTTTTTTTCTTTAGCATACATAATCTAAACACTATTTAAAAAAATAAAATCCATCTACTACTTCAGGTATTATCTTAACAGTTTACACCATGTAATATAAACAGACCTCTCACTTTTCTGCTTTGCCAGCACTCTTCAAAAGAGTGCTTTGGAATTCCCAATTTGACAACAGCACAGGTTTCTTATAGTAAACACTATTAAAAAGGCTGAAATCTCAATCTGCCTTTAAATCACAAATGTATACTCATGCTATTGTCTTGATGCCAAAAGAGAAGTGAAAATATGAGAAGAGCGAAACCTAGCTACAGGACCACATGGAAAAAGATGTGATGTACAGGGCAGGTTGCACAACTAAGGGCATGGGTGCAATCTTATTCTGCTCTCCACTTGACTCCTGGGAAGACAGGACAGTGAAATAAACAGCACCAGTGGGACTCTAGTACCATGCAGCATTTAGAGCATGCATGGTAAAGATGCAACACAAGTAACATAAACCGGATGGACCTCCCTATGAAGTCAACCTTAACATGATTATATTTACACCAATCTTGGTAGCATTTTCTAATTAATCTTTAATTTTCATTAAGAATGCTGATATCTGAAAAATAATGGCCATATTCAATCTGCATACTGCTTGAATCCACTTCGAGGGTATTATTGAAAGAAATGGTGATCTAATTTGACCTTTGCATGTAAGTGTCTTAATATGTTCGAAACAATGTATTAACAGAAGATCTTTTGAATTATCAGTCAAAATGTATTTATTCCTAGCTGTCTAGGAAGTAAAACCTTTAATTATCCTGTTTGTGAAAGTATTCTAATAATACTCTTAAATGGCAACACTGTGTATGTCTTACTAAAATTTTATACTCGACAACACTTTCGTACCTGAAATACTTTTAAAACATTAAAATAGCATTCTAAAAGCAAGCACCCTTTTTCACAAGAACAAAAGCATAAAAAATTTCTGTGTAATGATGCTGTAAAGAAAAGTTTTAAAAATAGAATGTAAAACAATGCAGCCCTTCTGTTCATTTGAGCCAACATTTTTTGAATTCTGTGTCATTGGTTGTTAGCAAGATCCAGTAAAAATATATGTTCTTTTAAAGAACATGTGTTTTTATTGGTTCACTCCAGGGCTCTAAAATGCCAACAGCTGCAAGTAAGAAACTGGATTTCCTTCTAAAAACATATATAAAAATACTTTTTGGAGCATAGTGAAGAGAAGACATCATCCAATTCAGTACTGGCAAAAAGGAAATGTTGGATGTATACCTTTAAGAAAGCTGAAAGCTAAAGGAAGCGTTTCATTTTTAATGTTATAAATAATAATTTCTAAACCTTGTTATCCCAAAGTTGTAAAAAATCATACTTGGGAACCATTCAAACTGGATCCTCTTAAAGTCAGAGACAAAATATTATGTGCAACACAGGTTGCCTAAACATCTGTTCTGAGGTGTAATTATGTACTTAAACGGAAGTTCCTGTGAATTTAACACTTTATGAAAGATGGGCTGTTAATTGAGAAAACTGCTTCTTTACCTCAGATACTTTGAGTACATCAAGGAATATGAGAGCAGCATAGATGGATGTCAAAGAGAATATGCTTTGATCAGAATGCTACTTTGCTAAGTAAAGGATATGAAAGCCTCACAAACGGTAACATGTAATTTTATATAAAGGTTTTTTATAAAGGGAATTTTTATATAAAGGTTTTACATAAAGCTAATTTTTATAAAGGTTTCACATAAACAATCCACCAAGAATTAGCTTCATTGCGTGGTCTAACTGTGTCCATTCAGAGTTCTGCAGCTAGAGAGTCAATACTGAGGATGCTAAAAAACCCCAAAACGAAAAAAAAAGCCCCAATCAGAAAACGGTCTCCTCTCTTCTTTCAAGCCCTCATGTTTGTTCTCCTCTCTGAATCTACTTCCCTCAAAAAGTCTCCTACCTTAGCTAGCCTCATTCAGGTGATCAGACAGTGATCCTCTTTAAGCCTAGTCCAAGCACTCCTTGAGCAACTATCAGTGCCCAACTGTACAGTTTTCACTACAAAATCATCCATTCCCAGCAACAGGCACTCAATCTTCTCTTTAACCGTATTTCCACAGTGCAGCCCGGTAGTGCTCTTATAAATGCACTCAGACTTCCCAAACAAATACCCTTGTACCCAGCAGAAGAGCACTCAGACTTCCCAAACAAATACCTTTGTACCCAGCAGAAGATATATCACAAGCAGATAAGACACAAAATAAAAAGCAAAGCAGGTAACATACCAAAAGGATAAGAAGAGATTCAGACAGGAAGGAAAGGATAGACAGCAAGTACGCCTGTTCTCCCCTCCCATCCTCTAGTTTAAACCATCAGGCTACTGGTGAGCCTTTTTTAATGTGCAGCAGGTAACACAGTTCAGCAGAAGGAGGATGTTTGTGAGAGACACCGGTTCAACCAGCAGCGGGTGCTGACCCCTTTTAGTGATTGTAAGGGGTGGGAGGGCTGAGAACGCCACAGGGGAAATCCAGACCAACTGCAAAAAAAAGCTCCTGCTGAAGGGGACACTGATGAAGAGGTCAAGAAGTGGACCAGGAGAATATCACCGAGTCAAGTCCTCGAGGCTCGCCCAGAAGGAGACTGTTAAAAGATGGTCCTAGATCCAGGAACACAAAAGCAGTAAAGACGGTTTAGAATGAATTGAGTATTTCAGAAGCTAGAAAAATCAATGCAGATAACAACTTAATAGTGCTTAGCCTTTACTAGAAAATGAGGTTGCATTAACATATCAAACATAACTTTAGCACTTGTATAAACAAATCATCTTTAACATGCTGTCAGCTTTTCAGCATTTTCTTCAACTTGTACCTCTAACATGTTAACACGGTGTTATGGTGCTTGCCATGTCTACACAGATTGATGAGTTATTTTTTGATTGTTATTTAACACGATTCTTCAGTGAGGTGTTCTGAAAGTAAAAGGTACAGACATTACACTAGAGTAAAGAAAAATCTGCAAGCCACTGGAGAAATACCATTAGTAGGGACAAAGACGGAATACAGCAAAGCATTGGCACTGCGCAGAGCAAGCCCCTGCGCCCAGCCCATCAGTC